CCAACAAATTTTTAATTGATATTCAATTTTCAAATATAATACCTTATACTGAAAATATAGAATATAACTTTATTTTTATTCAATCTATTTTTTTTTTCAAATCACGGACTGAAGGCATTCTAACCATTCAACATAATTTTGTATTTTTAATAAATAAAAAATAAAAATGTGTTAATAACTTGAACATACTTTATGGATCTCCGTAAGGAAAAAAAAACGTTTTTGAAACCGTCAAGACGTTTATAACCTTTTCTAAAATGGTAGGTTCAAATTTATGAAACCGTTGAAACGTTATCGATCTTAATTCTAAAACAACAATTGCGTCTATAGACAATATGATCCGTGAAATATTTTTTTTTATTATGAGTAAATGTAGGCTCTTTAAGAAATCTAATTACATAAATGACTTAAATGTTAATAATTTACAAATCTGTTAAAATAGAGGTCTAGGTCCATTTGAAAATTATCAAACTACCCATTCTCACATAATTTTAATAAATAAATAAAATCATAAACTCTAAATCGTGGACCCTAAAAAATATATTTTAAAATATAATAATAAATGTAATAGAATGGCATTTACAAGCTACCCATTTTCACATATTTTTAATAAATAATTAAAATCATAAACTCTAAATCCTCCCTAAAAAATATATTTTAAAATATAATAATAAATGTAATAGAATGACATTGGAAAAAAATCTTGAAAATTTAGATTTATAAATATTTAAGAAAATGATATTTGTAAAATATCATATAGGATAAGATCAATTTTAGATACTTTCTATTTTTTTTTCCAAATGCGAGAAATATAAGTATTTTTAATGTTTTTTATTGGGTCTTTAATGTTTAATTTGGTCTTATATATTTTAAATTTTATTTATTATACCTTTCACTACGATAAATATTAAATTGATTGATAATAAGTTTGTATGACTTAGTGGATTGACATAGATAATTTTATAGAAAAAAATCATAAATTTAGAGAATAAATTAGGTTTTCTCACTAAAACTAGTATTTGTACAGACTTCTAATAATCATAAATGCTGAAAATCTCATCTCTGAGGTGACTTTATTTTTTCTTTTAAGAATTTGAACATTCCTCCATGAAAATGGTATAATTAATAAATGAAATATTGCATTGAATGTTTTTAAAGCATAGAGATTAAATTAGAAAACCAAAACCTAATGACCTGGCTAACTCAACCTAACCTAACATACACATAAAAAATAAAAACCACGTGAATTAGGTCGGTCAATATATGGTCTTTCAAATGGTGTGATTTACCGACTCAAAAGTTTTGATTTGGAGAAATATATATATATATATATATATATATATATATATATATATATATATATATATATATCATATTTCAGAAGACCCTTCAACTCAGTCTAAAATTTGATTTTATTAATGGTAAAATATACTTTCGGTCCCTGAGATATGAGACTGGTGTCTACTTGGTCCCTAAAATTTTAAAATGAACACTTTTGATTCCTGAGGTTTGAGGTAGATGTCTAATTGGTCCCTGAAGTTTCAAAATGAACATTTTTAATCCTTGAAGATTAAAGTAGGTGTCAACTTGATCCCTGAAGTTTTAAAATACACTTTTGATCCCTGAAGTTTGAGAAATAGTTCTACATGGTCCCTGATTTTTTGTTGTTGTTAATTAACTAATATTATAACGACGTGACAAATTGTAATTAAATTATTTATTATAGTTGCTGATGTGACAAATTAAATTAATTAAATGATATATGTCCGATATGAATGGTGAACCGCGGTGACAAAGACATGGTGGTTGTCGGAAAAGGGTAAGAGAAAGAGAGAGGAAAAGATGAGGAGAGGAGGGAGAAAGCATCATCACCTACACATATATTATTTAATTAATATAATTTGTCACATCAGCAACTACAATAAACAATTTAATTACAATTTGTCACGTCATTTTTATATTAATTAATTAACAATAAAAAAAAAGATCATTTAAAACTATTTCTCAAACTTCAGGATGAAAAGTGTTCATTTTAAAACTTTAGGGACTAATTAGACGCCTACCTCAAACCTCGGAGATCAAAATGTATTTTACCCTTTTATTGATTGTTTGTGTTATTAACAAACTATTATAAATAACTATCATGGATTTAAAACAATCAATTCAATTAATTATGAGCAGTTCAACAACTTACTCTCCTTTCTTTAAGATTAAAGGTTCAAATCTTCACATTCCACATTTATAAGTGTTCATTTATCCCACGGAAACCCGTCTTAACTGAGGCCGGAGATTCCGATTAGGGCTTCTTGTAGGACGAAGATAGGAGACATTTTGTCCCTGTTCCGGACCCCACAAAAATCCCTAACAATGTCTTTTAATTAATTTTTTTTTAATATAGATAAAAGTTTTTAAATCGGGCTAGACCAACTTGATTTGAGTCTGACAATTTCAATATTTGATTTCGTTTGGGCTTAATCGCTAAAGATGGGGCGAGTACAACCAGTGGTACAAAAATTGTTGGAGAATTTTGAATAGTTGTCCGTAATATACCTTTGGAATATATATAATTCCAACCCATCATTTTTTGGTTCAATCATATATATTATTCTCATTTTTGTAGTTGTGAGATAAAAAATTGAACCTGTGATATCTTATTTGTTGGGGTAGAATTTAGACTCCTCGAGACTTCGTCGAATTCGCATCAATTATAAATAATGAAATCGAAAACGGACGTCGACCTACAAAACAAACAGCACTAAATACCAGTGTGGTGCTAGCCACATAGGCTCGATGTCTAAG